GGAGCGTGGGACAGAACAGCTGGGCTGCCAGGTAGGTCCCTGCAGGACCAACCCGGCAGCACCCCAGCTACTCTACCCCAGGGTCCACAACAAAAGCCTGGTCTGCTGGAGGGGGTGTGCACTAGCTGCGCCCCCCCCCAGCAGACCAGGGACACGGGGAGCAAAGCCGCAGCGGGGTGCCGTGCCTCAGCCTCAGAGGCGCGGGACCCCTCCGCCTCCCCGGCTTTGCTCCCCGTGTGCCTGGTCTGCTGGAGACGGTCACCAGCAGACCAGGGGCACCGGGAGCAGCTTTTCTCGCCCCGGAGGTCGAGGTGGCGGGACCGCTGCCTGCGAGCTCCGGGGTGAGAGAGCCCCGTTCGTAAGTGCGGATCCGACTTAAGTTGGATCCGCGTAAGTTGGGGACTGCTTGTATTTTTCAATTTCCCCCAATTACTCCTTTTTTTTAAAGTGAAAATATTTGTAATTAAAAATATAGTGAGCAATGTACACGCAGTACTCTGTGTAATTAAAAATTACTTTAAAATGCAGAAAACAGAACACAATTTATTTAAATATTTTTGGACTATTGTTTGTGTGATTAATCATGATTAATTTTTAATTGATTGACAGCCCTACTAAGTACATAAGCCACTGGTACAGGTTTACAATACTATATTTTATTCTCAAGCTTGTCTATAGGTGGCAGCAATCCTTCACAAGCCTAATTTACTGTTTCAGTAAGAGCTCTTCCTCAATTTAAAAATATTTGCCATTTGATACACAAATCCAGAGAATGCCACCACTGCCAGCCCCAATTGTTCAAAAACCACGAGTCAGGCCTTAAACAAATCAGGAAATTGGTTAAAAAGTAATTAACTTGAGTGGTTCGTATTTGCTTTTTGAGCCTTCACAGTTCATGTTTTCAAGCTTTTCTCTGTAAGCATAAGGACTGAAAACTCTTTATTTTTTTAAATACAAAGTGGAGCTTCTCATGTAGCCATATGACTTCAGAAGCTGAGCTTTTCAAATAACATCTCCCATTATCATGGGGCTCGTAAAAGTTGGCATCAGTGCTACTGCATTAAATTTACTGGCAAACAGTTACCAATCTGAGAGAGAAATTATAAAGAGCAGGATTCTCAAAAGACACTTTCTCTTCATAGATGTATAAAAGTTAGATACACACACCAGTCACGTCCCTCTCCCTGCTCTTGCAAAGCCTGTTCTCTTAGCTATTGTAAACATCTATTTTTTGAACAAGCATAATTTAAATTGTTTCACATGAGGGAACTTCTTCCACCTTCCTGAAGCCTCTTCTCTCTCCCTAGAAGGAAGTTATTGCTGATATTTGGCGTAAGTTTTCAACTTTACTTCATCCCGTTGCTCCTAATTACACTTCTTTATCTTACCCTAAACAATACTTATATGGGCCCAATTGCTACAGTATCTGAATAGCTTACAACCTAATGTATCCCAACACCTTGTTTTGATAAAGAAGCATTGTATCCCCATTCTACAGATGGGAAGTACAGCACATGTATTTCAAAGGGAGTGAAGTGCCTATGTATCTTTGAGGGTCTGTGCCTATGTGGCTAACCCAAATCCCATGACAAGGAATCGAACATAAGATTGTTGAGTTCCAATCTTTACTGTCCTACCCGCAAAACAAGTGAGAGGCATTAAATTCTACCTAATGCAGATAACCCCTTTTTCTTTTGCTACAGATTGATCGATAGTTGGCCACTGCATCTAGACCCAAGCCCTTTCCTTTCAATACTTGCAATGAGTTCTTCGAACGGAACACAGCATCTCCTCTACTCTCGCCTTGATACTGGGAGCAGAAGAACAAAGCTGCTCTCTGTCAGGGCTCATGTTGCCTCCCACCTCCTAATTTTTTTTTTATAAATAATTTACATTTACTAGCACTCTGCTGCCTCTTCCATCATTACAGAGGTGCTTGTATCAGCCAACTTGATCTCTGCTAGGCAGCCAGCATCACTGAGCATATTTTATGTAAATAAAAGAAACTTGTCTTCAGCCTGATGGAAGAGGGAGAGAGGGCGGTTTAAAACACAGCTCCATCTTTGTCTTTAACCAGATCCAGAGGCATTAGCCTACTGCAGGGATTAGCAATGATGGGCACATGGCCCATCAGGGTAATCTGCTGGCAGGCTGAAAGATGATTTATGTAAGTTGACTGTCCACAGGCATGGCCCCCTGCAACTCCCAGAGGCTGCGGTTCATAGTTCCCAGCCTCTAGGAGCTCCCGGGAACCATGCCTATGGACAGTTGATGTAAACAAACTGTCTTGCAGCCCACCAGCAGATTGCCCTGATGGGCCACATGCCAAAGGCTGCTGACCCCTGGCCTACTGCACTTGTTTGGGTGAAAGGACACAAAATGGAATGGGGGAAAGCAAGTCTGAAAACAAGTAGGGAAGCATTGTAGCTCTTGGTATTACTGGGCTCACCCGCAAGGCTTGTGCCTCACCTCTGTTATTCCCTACAGCTTAATCAAAGCATATTTCCACAGGGGCTGGGAGAGGAAGGTGCCCCCCCTATTCTTCATTTGTAATTTATTCAAAAAGCAACCTGCCTGCCCCGATCATCCCAAATCAATCTGTGCAAAGGCAAAATGACTTTGAAACTTGGTACCAAAATAAGAAAACATTTTACAATTCTGATCCACAGCCACTGGCACAATTGCTTAGCAGACTTATGGAAAGAACACAGAAACAGAGGCAACAGATTAGAGTAGCCTTAGAAACTGCACCGCTGTTGGCATTGTTAGCCAAAGCAACACAAGCTTAATTACCCACCTCCCTCACCAATAGGACGTATTGTCTCCTCACCAATAGGACGTATTGTCTTTGAAGAGCTTACTGTACAGATGTGATCAAACCAGTATGATGATCCATTCTACTAGGGGTGGGTATAAGTCAGGGTTCTGAAGGCTCAGCAGTTGATGTGATTGGAAAAAACAAACCTCTCATACATTTAAACTTAAATTAGCTTTTGATCTCAGAGCTTTCAGGAACACACGCAGAGAACGCTGGCAATTCTGTTCATGCAGAAGAGTGGCGAGGGAGGCAATTACCTTTCATCTTGATGCAAAACTCCCCCAATAGGTTTTCCAGCTCTGATTCAATGGTACACATATTCTGTGTTGGAAGACAGAAAACGGATATCAGGCCAACCTCCTACTTTTTTATATGTATATAAAGAATAGTTTGGAAAGAAAACACCCCACAATGTTCATTAGATAAAAATAAATATCTCAAAACGCAAAATTAAAAGCCACCATGAGCCCTGGAATAGACAGATGCAGTACTACTGACTTCAGGTCAACTCTGCCTATTTACACCAAGGCTGAATTTGGCCCAGTGCTCTTCTTTTGTTGCGTTTCCAATTTTTGTTCTACCAATGCAATGTCTCAGCCATCATGATGTAAACCAGTGATGGGTAACTGAGGCTAGTGAGTGGGCCACAAGACTGTCACAACCAGGGTGGTCTCCCAGGACAGGGTAGTTCTGCCGACTGCGCTTGCATATCTAGAATTTGCGGGATGTGCCAATTGAACCCTAGCAGTGCTGTGACTGAATGCAGGAGAATGCAAGGTCAGTGTTTTGTGTAATCAGTACGCACCTCACGTCACGTGCTCTCGCTTTGTGTGTGTCATTTTAGAAACACCAATAGAAAAAAAAACCTACGTGGACAGCAACCAGGTGAATCTGGCAACTCTGTACATGGGCAATGATAAAAGTCTTGTGGGCCACACATAGAAACCCGATGGGCAGCAGGTTGCCCACCACTAGTGTAAACTAATCATTTTCTCACTCACCTCCAGCCAAGGATTTTTGCTAAAGTGGGTCTCAGCATGTTGTTATATTTTGAGTAATGTGGAACACACGACGAGAAAGGACTGTGGAGAGAAAAGGGCCATTGGACCCTACCCAATGCCTTTTCTGTATTTAAGGAGATTGCTGTTACTGAAGAGCTGTGGTGATTGTCATGCTACCAAAGCCTCTCTCTTGCTTTGCCATATCGTGATTCAATCACACCTTAATAAATGAGTATGATCAGAACCGATGCAGCAGATGCATTTATGGAAACCATAATATACTGGAATCTACAGAACTGGAAAGAATTTAGAGTCCAGACAAATAGACTAAGGGCAGACTTATGCTTTTTCCTGAACAGTGGCTCCCGGGTGCATGTTCAGATGGCGATATTGTGGCATTACAATATCATGTCACAATGCTCACTCCAGCCATCTCTGGCAGAGTGAAAGCTTGTATTTGCAGGTGGTCTACTGCCCCACGAAAGTAAATACAAACTAGCCCATTATATTTTTAATCAGTCAAATATTTCAAAAGGGGAAAAAGCTGCTCTTCTGTATGGGCTGATCCTGCAGTCCTTATTCAGGCAAAATTCCCATTGAAATCTATGGAAACACTCCCACTGATGTCAACCAGTGCAGCAATGGACTACACAGACTAGCACAGACCTCCGTGTATTCCTTGAAACTTCTGTTGATTTCCGACAAACTCTCTCGAGCTGCTTTGCTGGCAGGCGACATTGCAAATGCTTGCTTCATTTTGTTGGCGCCGTCACAAAGACGTCTTTGGATACAATAGGCTTCGTACAGCTCATCCACCTAGCAGAAACAATGAAAGCACGTAAAAATAAAGAAACCCAAAGGAATCATAAAATAGGTTCCATTAAGGGAACTGAACAATTCTGACTTTTTTTAAGATACACCAGTGGGCGTACAACTGCAGCTCTGATGCCACCACATTACATTTTAAAAGGGTGGAGTGTAGGAAAACATCCTCTGCTGTAAAACTTCATTAAGGCAACAGAGAGGGTCAACAATTTGTACTTCAGTTCTGCAGGACTCCAGCTACTGTGTTCCAAGCTTATTTTGGGATTTAGAGAACTTTCCAAGCCTCTTTTAAAAATCAATTTCAAGTATATAAAAGAGCTGAATGGCACATCCCTGGGTAGTAGTAACGTCCTCTGATTAGTCTCAAAGTCAGGTGCCATGCTGCATGCACCCTGTGTTTTTTATGGAAATGTGGCTTTGAATATGCATAATTCAAATATGCTTTCTGCAAAATGGGGCATGTGACCTATCACTGAAGGGCTTGCACTCCCCAGAACGTGTATATTCTATGTGTGTGCATGCATCATTCCTATACTCAGTTAGAAATATGTAGTATAAACCTGCTTGTTAATCTAGGTATACCAGTGAAAGTCACTAGTGATACTTAACAGCCCGGTAGTCAAGACAATGATCTGTGAATAGTCTTTTTCCTACAAGTTCGGATTATGATCAGTTCTATAAAGACATGTGACTATGCCACTGGGTGCTGGAGTTGGTCTTGAATTTTGTACTTTTCCACAGAGGATGGGGAACTGAACAAAAACCTCATGCCACAGGGAAATTCTATGTCAGAAATGGGATGCAAACAATGATTGTCTTTAGCTGGCTTTACAGACTGCTCCCCATGCCAAGAGGGTACATGAAAACATTTGGAAATAAAAAGGACTCTGACAAGGATTGAGAAGGTCAGAAATAACAGCTCTGGCCTGAAAAGAATTCACCTGAAATAAGAACTAAGGTAGGAAATTATTAAGTTTCAGGGGGATAATTCAGTTAGTCTGTATCTACATAAACAAGAAGTCCCGTGGCACCTTAAAGGCTAACAGATATATATATATATATATATAAGCTTTCAGATGCACTTCTGACACAGTAGGTCTTTACCCACAAAAGCTTAGGCCCAAATAAATCAGTTAATTCTCAAGGTGCTATAGAACTCCTCGTTGTTTATGTGGATACAGACTAACCGGGTTGCCCCTCTGAAACTTCTCTTACTGTATTAGGCTTAGCTGGTGGGCTTTGTTTTATTTAAGCTTAGTGACTTACTTTGATCTGTCTTTTATCATGCAATCCCTTAAATCTTCCTTTTTATACTTAATGGAATCACTTTTGTTTATTAATAGACCCAGTTACCTGCGGGGGACAACAGCTGTACAACTCTCTCTTTCATTGATAAAGGGGGCAAACTTTATGAGCTTGCTCTGTGTAAAACTTTTATGAAGGGTTAAGATGGACTTATGTGGGGTTCTGGTCTCACAGGGGCTGTGCACCTAGGTGCTGTGTGAAGTCACAGTACCAGTACTCAATATCAGTACTGAGCTTCCCAGAGCTGATTTGCTCTCCTTGTCCGTCCTGCTCTGCTATGGGCTGTAACCCTACACCTGGGCCTTTGCTGGGGGAGACCAGAGCTTCTGTCTCCATAGGCCAGGGTCACAGGGCACCTCAGATGCCAGGCAGGTGGTCTCAGTGGTCTCATCAGCCCTTCAGTTGACAGTCTCACAGGGATCTCTGTGACCCAACCCATCACACCGGAGACACCATGCTGGTGGCCGTGAAATCTTCCTCACAACAAACCACTGCCCTGTTGTGGAGGAGTTTTTCCTAGCAATGGGACAAGACCCGAGTTTCCAAACAAATCCTGGGCTGCTCTGCCGATGCCAAGGAGTGTTATTGGTGAGACCTGCAATACAAACACCAAGACCTGGACCAAGACCCCTGCCGGTGTTCCCTGCAAGCCGTGCACTTGTGCGGCTGCTCAGGAGAGATTCAAATGCCACCCAGCTGATTAGCAGAGCGCCCACAGCTAAGTCCTTTGTTTTTACGAGTGGTGCACATTCCTTTGCCCCCACAGAAGTTTTTTCCACAAATGGATGGAAAAGAGTAGAAGGCACATTGCCCCCTGTATATTGTATATTCCGGTTCAAGCTGTATTTACCAGAGATGGAGAGACAAAGGAAAGATTTTGGTATAAAAGGTTAAGCTGGAACTAACTCAGAGCCTTCTTTTGGATCCAGCAAATTGACGGGACCTTCTGTCTCAGGGTGGGATCCAACCCCTGCAGAAGGGTTGAGAGGATTTTGACCTAACAGGACTCTAAAAAATGAAGTCCTATCTTTGTGTAAATTACCTCCAGTAAGCATGCATGAATGCAGGAACTTTTTTTTTTTATTAAATGTGTGTAATGCTTTTATTTTAAGCATAAAGGTGCTTGGTTAGAAAGAGCCATGTGCTAACTTGTAACTGCTGGCAATACGCCGATCATAGCCTTCAAGGAGAAAGCAAAGCTCAGGGTATTGGTCTTTTGGCAGACTGGGTAGCTGCGGCTATCAGAATGTAAGGCAGGGAATTGTGCAGCCTTAAACCTGCCTGTGAGAAGGGAGTGGGATAAAGGTCACTACTCAGACAGCTGACAGCCAGAGACCTGATACCTAATTGGAAACTCCTAGGATCTGTCTACACTTAACAGTTTAAAGCGCATCCACAGCAGCGCTTTAAACTGAAAGTGTGGCCATGGCGTGAGTGCTGGGAGAGATTTCTATGTAAATTATCTACACGAGGGGAGTTGCTAACAGTGCCGAAGCCTGATTCACACTGATACTTGATAGTGATAGAGATGTAGCCGTGTTAGTCTGGTGTAGCTGAAACAAAATACAGGACTATGTAGCACTTTAAAGACTAACAAGATGGTTTATTACCAAAGGATATATATATATGGTTGTGACTATTTTCTTCCACTATTTGATCTGAGGAGTGGGTCTGGCCCACGAAAGCTCATCATCTAATAAACCATCTTGTTAGTCTTTAAAGTGCTACATAGTCCTGTATTTTGTTTCTGATACTTGATAGTACTGTAACTTGCTAAACTCGGAGGGGGGAGGGGACGTCAGACCCCTGAGCCAAAAATGTATAGTGCTGTAAAGTACCAGTGTAGATCTGGCCCTGGAGTGGACCATGGGAGTGGGGGAAGATAGGTACAGTCATTCTGAAACAGTGACAGTTGCCTTTAATTCATTTCCTATAGAACACTGAACATCCATTAGATCAGTGGTCACCAACCAGTAGATCGGGATCTACTGGTAGATCTTGTAGCCTCTGACAGGTGATCCTGGCTGGTTTGGCCAAGAGGCTATCAAGTGCCTGCACTTCAGCTGCCCCTCCCCCACTGCTGCTTATCTCCTGCCCTTTGCCTTGGAACTGCCCCTCCTACTGGGGAGCCTCCTGCTTTCTGTGCAGGACAGGGGAGGGAGAGGAGGGCGCTGATATCAAGATGCCCCCTCCCACCCTGTATCCATTCTCCACAAAGCAGAGAGGGGGCACAACAGGGCTTGGGATGGAGGGAGTTTGCTGGCTGCTTTATGGAGTGGGCCAGGGCCAGGGCAGGGTTGAGCCTGTCTTAGCCCCACTGCACCACCACCCAGGAGCCACCTGAGGTCAGCAATGTCCAGCTGGAGCCCACATCCTGAATTCCTGCCCTAGTCATGAACCCCCTCCTGCACCCTGAGCACCTGCCCTAGCCTCGAGCACCCCTGCACCCAAATGCCATTCCAGAGCCTGTACCTAAAACCCCCTCATACATCCCAACTGCCTGCCCCAAGAGCAGTTCAGAGCCCCTCTTGCACTCCAGATCCCTTAGTACATGACCAGAGTCTGCACCCCAGCCCTCTGCCCCAGCCTGATGAAAGTGAGTGAGGACGAGCAAGAGAGAGAGGATGAAGTGAGCAGGGGCGGGAAGGAGGCGGGGCAAGGGTATTTGTATTTGAGGTAGATCTTGGATTGCACTTAATTTAAAAAAGTGATCTTGTGCTTAAAAGGGTTGGAGACCACTGCATTAGATAGTAACAACTTGGGCTAAGATTTTCAAAAGTAACTAGTTTCAGATGCTGATCATCTACCCTCTGAAAATCAGGCTACTTGCAATGTGTCCCATTGGGCACCCAAAACTCCCTAATCACTTTTGGAAATCTTAGTCCTCACTATCTATCAATGTGAGCCAGTTTTAGATCATTACTTTAGAAGAAAAAAGCTCCACATACTATTAATAATTTCATAAGCTTATCCAACCTCCTTGCTGTGCTTTTCTTTTAAAACTTTATTTTTCGTGTGCAAATTCATTCTAGCTGAGTTATTTGCTGCTGAGGGCCTGTAGCAGTGGGACTTCCACTTGTTCAGATTCAGCAGCCAGCTGCAGCAGACGAGTCTGGTACCTTCATTTTGCTAATGAAACTATTTGAAGAGTTGGAGCTTTAGCTTCACCAGAAGACAATACAAGAAGAGTGTCATATTCGTTCTTTCTACTGTTCCTGCTAACAATGGAGAAGATTCTTATGTATATTCCACTTTTTTTTTTAAACTCGTCATGCATTGCATCTTAATGCCTTCTCAGTCATGAATCTTTCACAATAGAATTTGTCTCTATTTAAACTTGTTAGCTTGACTTCATATAGTACCTGCCAGCATGACTTAATTTTATCTACATTAGAAATGAACCTGAAGCATAATGCAGGTGTCTGAACTTTAGAAATGTTCAAATCCTTAATCAAAATTTCCCATTCAGCTCTTGAACAAAAACACTGCTGCCAGTTTCTCAGCTGAATGGGAAACACGAAGTGTGATTGAATAGCTGAGCTCCTTCCCCTACAATTTCAAAAATCCAAGTGTAAAAATCATACTAAAGCTGATTTGAGTTCATAATGGCTGATATAATGTATCTGAGAGGCCTGTAACTAAAACAGAAGGCTGTTTACCAATGAAATGCTTCAACAAAGATTAATGGAAGAAAAGGTGGTCTTGTTAACACTTCAGCATTACATGCCAAGTTTATCTAAGATAGAAGCCGACTACACTTAATCCTTCCAGCTAGCAACTCTCTAGTTTCCATACTAAAGAGCTGCTATAAATAGTTGTCACTTGCTATTTAAGTCCGTAATCAGGGTGGAGCCTAACCCTGTGCTCAAACTCTTTCTGCACGTGTGAAGCTGATTAAAATGAATTCATCTGCCACTGTAAAGATCTACCACCTGTTACTACACTTCCTGTTTTCCATGCTTTGTTTCCTGTACAGAATGACTACAGTTCTTAGCACTGACAGGGCATTGCTGTCATCAGAAGACAGCACAGTTTGTCTTGTTCTGAAAGTTTCTTCTGTTTCTGTTTGTTTTAAAACAAAACAAAAATAATAATATTCCTACATAGATGCCTAACCTCTGAAATTATAAAACTCTCACACAATGGTCTGTTTATTTATCACCATGGATTATAGAGCAGTGAACTGACATACTGAGCAAGTAGTATTGTTTTTAGTTCCTCTTGCGTTTAAGATTTCTTTTCATTTCTATTATAAACACAGAGACTGGTGGCTCTGAGCGGGATAGAGATAGCATAGGAGGGATTTAGATAGAAAATGTGCTTTAGGCTATAATTTTGACATGCAGGTTACCTGCAAGGAAGCGCATGTTTTAGAGAGAAAATTTTAACCTATTTCTTAAAGATTTTCTTTGGGATGCATGATTGAGAACAATGAAATTAAAATGTTTTGAGACTGCTTGCATATAATAAGCAGCACGTGTGTTTTTTAAAATGAATCTCTGTATACAATTCATCTATCCTATAAATACATAGTTTGGTCAAGTTGTGAAAAATGTTAATTAGCAGTTATATTGATGACTAGCAAAAATATACTGTGAGTTTGATTCTGATCTAAGGCATACTAGTGTAAATCTAGAGTATACCAACTGACTTGGATTGAATTATTCCAAGCATATGTTGGTGTAACTGAACAGAATTTGGCCAGGTAGAGTGAGGAGGTGTAAAAACTAGTGTTAGCAATGGTAGGATCAGGTCCTACAGTTGAAATCCAGTCTGAGAGTTTTAATGTGGTGTATCATATCAACCTGTGACCTTAAACTTCTTGTCGATGCAAGTATGACTTTTATCTATACCTTTACTGTAAATCCTTATATTTTAGTGTACAGATCAAGGGCATGACCCTGAATTTCCTTTGTACCTACTGAAGGTGGGAAAGTTTAAATGTGCATGTAGGACTGGTGAACCTCAGAAGTGTTCAAGCAGGGGTGGGGAACCTTTTTGGAGTTGGGGCTGCTGACCCATGGAAAAATCAGTGGGGGCCACACACAAGTGAGAAGCCAAAAAAAAAACAAAATAAAACCCAAATCCTCACAAACATGGCCCCTGACTAAGAAGGAGAAAGACACTCCCCACATTCCCTTCTCACACCAGAGCCTAGTGGGATCCAAGTGAGTAGATTTTGTGTGCTCCAGTCCCTCAGTAGGCGTGGGGGTCTCTAATGCAAGGAGGGAAGCCCTGAGCCTCAGGGGCTGGATTCACACAAGCAGCCCCTGGGCCTAAGGTTCCCTACCCCTGTTTTAAAGCTTTGAAAACCCTTTCTTTGTTTCTGTCTCAGGAATCACTGCAGCACTTTAAACTACATAGAAGAGAGACTTCGATGGAGGTGGGTCCCTGTGGAGTGGAAGCTATCCCACTGGGCAATGGATAGTTTTCTTAATTACATAAAAGCAGATGCAGAAGAAACATGATAGGACTGTTCATTACCTTACTAATGTGGAACTCCAGCCTTCTCATATATCTTTCAATTGCTTTGATTTGCTGAAAAAAAAGAGGAATGAAAGATTCTTTTTTCCAATAACTCAGCTGATTATATTTTTATACAGATTCCTTGCACAAATCTTCTCTTCAACTGGTTTTCCTATCTCTAGCCATTGTCAGCTTCAAAGAAACTCTTCCTCTTCAAACTATGAAGCTTTCTTTTTGTACGTGAACCTCAGATCAAGTGCTTTATCTTAGTAATTTACTCAAAAGTAGAACAGGTTGAATTTTTTTCCATCCCAACCTGTTTTGTCAAAAAACAACTCTAACCAAAACACATTTTTGTGGATAACTTTTCACTTACAAATATTTTTCATTTAAAAAGCACCTGCATTTCTTTCATTTAATTTTTTTTATTTTCAGTTAAAAATAAGTTAAATTGCTCTGAGGTTTTCAAAATGCCAAAATGTTACCAGAAGTTTTTAGAATACTGACAATGTTTTGGTTTTTAAGGTTTTTTTTCTTCTTCATTTTCATTATAATTCTAGGGATTTTTTAAAAACATTTTCCTGTGAACTGCTGTTTTTCAACCAGATCTATTGAAAAGCTTGAAGGCCTTTGATTTTTCCTGGATCAGTATGAGGATACAGATTAAAGATACGCTGAAGACTTGGTAGACCACTGGTGTAAACAGGCATAACTCCACTGACGTGCCCTAGGAATAAATTTAGCCTTCTCCTGCATAATGAAGAAGTGGCAGATGTATGTCCTAACTACAGAGCTGCAGCTGAGGCAGTAGCTGTCAGAGGTAGTCCTCCACTGACTTTCTTTGTTTATCTATAGCTATGGTGTCCAACACCCTAGCCACATGTGGCTATTTGGCCAGTTGAGTGTGGCTAGAACTGGTTGGACACCACAGATCTAGAATCAAAGGCTGACCCCCAAATTAATGTGTAACCTGGTTGAAGAGGGTTCTTGCTGAACACCCGGTACATTGTTTCTGACTCCTCAAGGACCTGATCCTGCTCCCACTGAAGTCAGTGGCCTGCCTCTCCCCTCAGTGGTGGTACTGGATTAGAGAATCAGACTCTGAGAAGCTCTTGGGGCCAGCTGTCTCCAGGTCTGGGTACATCTGGTTCAACTTTTAATGTTTTCTTTGCAACTCCACTGCCCCAGATGTTAACGTACCTTGTCTAGATCATACAGCACACCCTGCAATGAAGAAAGGGAGGAAGATGATGAGTAAGTTGTGCGTGTCGCACCATTCCACTGAATGGTACACTATCACAGTGCCCTATTATGTTTAAATAGCTGAAGTACAAAACAAGATCCTGGGTAGGAGGTCACAGGCCTAGGGTTGCCAACCATGCCTTATTTTTTTCATCTCTACAGCACATTGGGAGATGCTGAGTGCTGCAAAAAGCAGCAAGAAATACCCGTTAAATGTTGGAGAGTATTGCTTATTATTATTATTACTGATAATGATAATAGTGGGAGGAGACATTGGGAGGGGGCGCTAAGAAAACAGTCCCTTGTTTTTGAAATGCAATGTTGGCAATCCTAAAGAACTGTTCTTCTAAACTCCCTTATCCCCCCTTTTCCTCCAATACCTGGAAAAGGTTACCCTTGATCTATGCAAGTAGCATACAACATTTTATCATCTGAACTGTGGGATAACACATACCAGCCGTGAATTTCTTTTCATGTCTTTTAACTGAGCAGTTAACTTATCCAGCTCTGTCTGGTGAACTTCCAGATACTCGCTGTAAAGATAAACCAGAAAGGGAATCATGAACCCTGCTCATTTCAGTACATAGGTGGTGCTGATTGCTGACATCTGTGAAGGGAATATTTGTGTAACAAACAGCTATTCTCACCACTTACTGGCTTAAACAAAAGTGCTGACTGTCATAAAAACTCTCCATAGCTTTTAAGTCCTTTGCATGCACAACTTTCATGCTTCACACCAACTAAACAAGCAATAGGAACACTCCTTTAGCTCTTGTTCTTGCTTTCAAGTACATTTAACAGCTGGGTTTTGTGAGAACTCAGTTGCTGTTTAGTTCGCAGGCTGCCTCTTTCCTATCACTGTCCTTGGGCCTGTGTAACAAAGGCATTACTGCATTCTGTGATGTTATCTTGTACCACATTGTGTGGTGTGATCAGGGGATTCAACAGCCATGCTAACCCCCTGGGCAAGGTGATGGGGGGGGGGCCCAGCTCCACACTTCAAGGGGTGGGGCGAGGCCTGAGGCAGAAGGGGCATGGCCGATGGCAGCGAGGCCTCAGTGCCACCCAGACTACAGTGTCCCCTGCCCTGCAATGTTGCTGGCCTTGCCAGGCAGCTCTAAGAGCCACCTGGCGTGTGCTGTGCAGTGCTCCAGTGGCAATTTAAAGGGCTCGGCGCTCCATGCACTGCTGCTGCCACAGTGGCGGCTGGAGCCCTGGGCCTTTTTGAATCATCAGGACCTGGGATATCTGCCCCTTCTCCCTTCCCCACATCCCATTGTCAGGCCTGGACATCCCATTGATAGGAGGCAAATTAGGAGCAAAAGTCTAGGGATGAAATCCTAGTCCTATTGAAGTCAGTGGGAGTTATGCCACTTGGGGTATGTCTACACAGCATCGTTATTTTGAAATAGCTAACTTAGTCCGTGTCTATACAGCAGGCAGGTATTTCGGAATAATGCCGAAATACTGTCAAGCTAGAAGACTTCTTACTCCGACTCCTGTAACCCTCATTGTATGAGGAGTAATGGAAGTCGGAGGAAGAGTGCTCTATTTCCAAATAAGTGCTGTGTAGATGCTCCCAGTTTCGAAATAAGCTACACAATTGACGTAGCTCAATTTGCGTAGCTTATTTCGAGTTCAGCCCTGTTGTAGATGCACCCTGACTGTAATAGAGCCAGGATTTCACTCAGTGTGTTTTTGCTTCCTGTCTAGAAGTGGGTTTAACACAGGAGAGCAGAAATCAGCAGTTGGATTTACCCTCCCATGACCGAGGCTCCCCACTCCTGTGACCCATGGCTTTCAACTCTAAAGTAACCAAGAAAGCTGCAGTCATCTAGTGATAAACTCCCTTACTCCAATCCATTCTTTAAGGCCCTGTAGACCTCTTCCATCCTTTTAGGCTGGGGCTCTTTGGAGGCACTGCTGTTCTTATGTCCCAAATTGTGCGCCTTCTTCACCTTTGTTTGGGGTTTCTTAAGGCCCGAGGAATTTTCAACAAAAGAGTTACACCTGCAAAACAGACATGAAAGGAAAACACTATCAATCCCACTGATCTCAAAGGAGCATTGCCAGACAGTCTCTCTTCCAGCTGAAAGTCATCTTACTATTGTCTGCTGGAGGACTGTTTGTTTACGGGTTAATAGGTCTGAACTGTACCAAGCAGTCTTGTGCTCAGGCCATCAGTATCTGATGTTCCAGTTGTTGAGACCTGAATGCCTCTTTGGTAAACAGTAGCTTATGCTTGAGGCTTGCCCATGACACACAGCTCTGTGCATCTTCTACTGGGTCTGTCCCAACCCGCAATACTAGGGAACCACAGAATGCTTGAACAGGAAGAGACCTTGGTGGGGAGGGGGGAAGAGGTCTTCTAGTCCAGTCCCCAGCAGCCATGCCTAAGCTATACCCAGTTTGTGAGAACAAAAGGCAATTTTCAATACTACAGCAACTATATGCTACTGATTAGTGCTGTCTGGCTGTTTGTACAGTGCACAGCCCAACTGGGCTCCGGACTCAGTCATGGCCTCCAGGCACTATTGCACTGCAAATAAATAATACGTTTACTATATTGACGTTCCCTCACATGGCTTCTGAAGATTCCCACTGAATTCTTGTCTCTACTTTTCCCCCGCTTCACTGAAAGCTTAAAAAATAGTAGGATTTAATCATATTAACAGTAACTTACATCTACACAGCCCAGACTGGGTCAAGCTAGCTGATATGCTTAACAAACAGCTGTCCTGACAGCCTTTTGAAGTTTGTGCTCAGGTTCAGAAGCCTAGGGATGGGCGTGGGCTTCAGACAGCTCTGGGCAGTTTACATGTTGAAAGATCACACGACTGTGTAATTTAATGGACTAAAATTTATACTCTAAGATGCCAGGAAAATTCCTCTAAGACTGAGGCCGGAGGTGAGCCCTATATTAATAAACATAAAGCCTAATAGATTTCTGGCAGTGAAGAAATGGGGTGTCTTAATTCTCCACGAGAGAAAGCAGAGTTGCACAGAGAATAAACAGAGGTAGTCTGACCTATAACACACAGATTTCACTCTGGATATGGGAAGATTTTTGGTTTCTGTCCTCAAAAGTTCCAATTCTTGAGCTGAAACTTCTCCACCCTCACCCCATACCAAATTATACTACTTGCCTAGATCGTCTTTCTTGGAGACCGCTGAAGCCAGCGAAGGATTGACTTCTAATAATCCCATTGGGACCACCTGGGGAGAACGAATGTGATCCTACTGACATGATTTCCGGCAGCCTGGAAGATATTCCTGCAAGATAACCGAACAAAGATCAGTGACAGTGGTAAGTTGCAGACAGGTTGAAGACAGACGATACTGCATTCATCAGAAGTGATAAAGGGTAAATGAATCCCACAAGGTGAATGGAGTCATGAGATGATTAGATGTTTACAAACCCGACTCTCTACTTCAGTCTGTTTATAGGACAACCCAGTTTTCAAAACAAAGCCAGGAATGTCTGCAAAGGCAATTTCTCTATTTCATTCACATGGAAAATACAAGGGATGGTCAGAGTCTTGCAGTTGACTGACTCACATTACTAAACAGTAATTTTCTCTGAAGTAAACTCTTCCAGTTTGTACATCTACCTTTTATTCCAGATTAACATTATTAAATGTCTATGGACCAACCCAAGAGCAGCTTTCTTGAAAGAATTACATTCTAGATGTGAAAAAAACAGGCTAGAGAGAAAAATGTCATCCACTGGGTTCAGCACAGGACGGAAGCTAGACTTAGATTTAGACTTTTGAAAACTCTGATAAGTCTTGTAGCCTTGGAATATTTATTAACCAACCTCCCTTCCCCCACCTCAATCTCCCGCTGTGTGAAATGAGAATACACAGTTACTTACTTCATATGGATTACTCAATTTTGAAATCTCTGAAGACTAAAAGGTATGCATTATTACAATAAGGCAATGACGACAGTTCATTTAAAAATATAACTAGTCCTAAACCGGACATGTTAGCTTTCCTTATCTCAGGAACTGTGTTAGCATCTTATTGCAGAGAGCGATGGGGGTAGAAGGACAATAATGTGGGTATATTGCAGGGAAGAGACAGGAATTATCTGTGTGGTGATGTGAGGGGCAGGGGGAATTCACTGTCAATTCATTAGACTCTTGGTATCTAGTATGGGAAGCATGTTATTTGTCCTTTTCACCATCCCACAGGAAATGAGCTGGAGATTTCAGTTAATTTCCAAGTTGTATTTTTAAATGTGGACACCTGTCTATCACAAATGACTCTTTGCTGAGGTTGCCAGAGGCTGACTGGGTATTCAGGAAGACTGGCTGACCCCTTTACCCTTAGGAGTTGCTGAACAATATTGAGGCAGCATGGCAAGGCACCGAGGTTCAGACTATGCTGTTCTTGCTGTCTGGTGGAAAGAGGACTAGTCCCTGGTCTGATAATCTCTAGGATCTTTCACAAGCTTTAAATTAATGTACTGAAAATAGGCACTGGAGCTATGTAGTAGCTGTATCTTTACTGCATTTCAAATGCATTAGATCAGTGGTGGAAAACCTGTGGCCCTTCAGAGTAATCTGCTGGCAGGCTGAGACACATTTTGCTGACATTGTAGGCATGGCTCATCTACATCTTCCAGTGGCCAGAGTTTGCCATTCCCAAGCCAATGGAAGCTGCAGAAAGTTGCATCAGCTTGTTGTTGAATCAGGCTATGACCACCTTTTCCATAATTACTAGATAAATGTGATCTTTGTTCAAAGCCTTAAGAAGCTCCATTAATCTTTGTGAATTTTGTGCCTAATTTTTTTTAAGCAGCAAGAACCTAAGCATCTGCCTTTAAAATGGGCTAAATATACTCTGTAACATATGATATGCCCTTTCAATATACAGAACATATATTAGGTATTATACTGCTTATATCTCATTAAGCAAGTCTTCAGCTGTGTGCAGGGCATATATGAAAAGCAATTAATAGCACGGTAGTGTAATATTTTAGGAATACAAAACTTGCAAAACTTTGTGCCACGCCTCTTCTCAGATTATAGGGCTTCCACAGATGCCTTCTGTACATCTGTGTCTGTGCCACAATGGCATGTAATCTTATATCAATGCCTTTTTGTTAGGCCTGTATACTTAATTAAGCAGAGCAGTAAATATTAATAAAAGTTAGGGATATGAAAGGTTAAACAGCTAACCGGTAAGCATCACCCTAAATGAGCAATGCTTAGCGGCTCCAGTTAAACAGTAGTGGGTGAAGCAGCACCCCACCCGTCCCAGGCAGAATTAAATGTTGATCTAATTTACATAATGGTATACATCAGAGTTGTTGACTCGAGTCCCATGACTTGAACTCGAGTCCGACTTAAGTCGCCTAGGTGACTCGACTTGAGACTCAACTCGGGTTCATTGTTTGTGACTTGAGACTCGACTTGGGACTTGAACTGTAGTGACTTAGGACTCAACTCGGACTTGACAATGACGACTTGAAGATAACACTGGTATACATTTCCTCTATATATTACTGGAGGTACTCCATCTTGACATCAGGATAACTAAGACTAGAATCATGCCCTACATGAGGATCCACGCCTTGAGCACCCCCCTCTTCTGTGCTGAGTTTCTTGGCTTCCTCTTGATGCTTAGTGCCTGGCAGGCACCACTCAGCACCTTCCAGGATCAAGTTCCCATTTGTAAATACAGAACAGAGTCTGAACATTGATTAGAGTCTGAGTCAAATAGTTCAAACCCAGCTGAGAAGAAACGACTTTGTTCCCCACTGTGTCATGTCTATCTGATTACACTACTTTCGGGTTACCTCCTGTAAGTATAAGATACACTCTCACTCTTTTCTCTAATGACTTTAAAATGGTTAATCTGTGTTCTGCATGCTGCAATTTGTATTGTTTTAAAAATGAGCCCAAGTCAGTAGGAATTGTTGAGTGTTTGCCAGGTTTGACAGGATGATTAGTGCATCTCCAGAGAGACTCTAGAGATGGTGTGAAGGTAAAAACTAAACAGCTAAGACACTCAGCTGGGTTCAACAGAAGTACCATTTATACAGTACATCAAAATTCCTCAAAAAATAAGCAGAACAAAAACAAACTAAGTTTAGTATTAGTGATGAGGACTTGGGCTATATCTGATGAGGTACTGCACATTCAAAACTCTGGTCAGAAGGCTGAAACACTCCACACAATGATATCTGTTCCATCAGGTCCTTCTTAGCAAAAAAGAGCATGACCTTAGTGTGACAAAGTGTGGATTTAATCAGTATATATCAGTCAAAACAGAAATATTTCTTGAGTGTTTGTGTATGAAAGATATACACAAACAAACATTACCAGTTTTCATCAATCAGTGAAAAGGAAATCAAAGATTATTTTTAAAAGCGCATTTTTCACCTTTCTTAAAAATACTTGGACCAGCTTTACTCTTCATGTTTTGTGCTGCTTTAGTAGCTGTGAACAACCTACTTATGAAATCAACGGAAGTGTGGAACAAATACAATAGATGTTTACATTAAGACCTGTCTACATCTATTTTTGCTTTGTCTTTGTAAGAAATGGAAAGAATCCAACTCTCTGCTCAGATCTGGGAGTTAGAAAGAAAAAATATTTTTATTGTGGAACTGAGCAAATAAAAAATGGGAGTAACACAATGCCATTAACTGAGTCACTTTTCAAAATAAAATAGCATTTTATGATTACTCTGTTTGAATAGGCTGACAAATACCAGTCACATGGGAGAATATGACACCTAATTTTGTAACTTTTAGTCCAATATGTTTTCAATAAAAAACTTCCTCTCTGCAACAGAGCTTCCAATACAGCCATGAGCTGGGGCTGTCTTAAGAATAGTCTCTCTTTGAATCACTTTAACACACCTAGCTTGTGGGTCTGTAAAATCCACTTAGACTTTACAGTTGGACTTTTATAAATAGCAAACACTATCTATACCTCATATTTAAGATGATTTCACCAAAGCCTAAATATTTTCAATTGCCCCTCTCCCTCTCTCATACACATTATCTCTAGTACCAGTCACTTAGCGATTACTTTTAATATTTAGGACTGACAAGTGTATTTAAAGTAACGAGTGTCTGTAGAGTCATAAAATACTTTATATTTTCCTTAAATATTTTAAATAAATCATTAACATATTTAACAGGTAGTCTTTGAAAGATACTGTATCTGAATTTTATAAGACAGGCATATGTTAGCTGAATACAAATTACATTAACATATATGAAGCATGTGAACAAGAGAGAACCACAAAAGATAGAATCACAAGGCACTCCAGTATTATTTCAAAATATTTTATTTTGAAATACTTATTTTGAAATAGCTTATTTCAAAATAACGCGTCAACACACAAAATGCATTTTCAAAATAGCATTTTGCTATTTCAAAATAGCGCGTCCACATTGAGTAGACGCTGAATCACATTTAAGGCTGGCTGGAATCAGTTCCGGCAGGGCACCAGGTCAGGACTTACTGTGTGTGGCTGCTGCCTGAGGCTATCTGAGGTCTGTGCTTAAAGAGTAGCTTATTTCAAAATAACGCGTCAACACACAAAATGCATTTTCAAAATAGCATTTTGCTATTTCAAAATAGCGCGTCCACATTGAGTAGACGCTGAATCACATTTAAGGCTGGCTGGAATCAGTTCCGGCAGGGCACCAGGTCAGGACTTACTGTGTGTGGCTGCTGCCTGAGGCTATCTGAGGTCTGTGCTTAAAGAGACCCCCCCCCCTCCAGACAGCCAGTTCTCAGCTTTCCCTGCTTGCTTGCCTACCTTGATGAGGGACAGCAAAG